ATTGAATGATAAACAAATGGCGCCGACTTAATAGGCAATTTTTTCTCCTTTTTTAGTTTTTGTACGCATAATTTGTATTAGTGGTCATGCAAATTAATTGTTGCCCATTTGTGTCAGCGCCGGAATACCATGAAAATTGGCCCATTGGCCCATAATCCTTTTAGACCACGCCAAAACGCCCACAGCCCAATTTAATGCCTTTCCGAATGTCGAATATCGAATGCCTAATGCCTAAATTGCTTATTTGTTTCAATTGCTGCTTTTGTACTTTATTTAAAATGAAGCAATATTTCGTATTTTATATAAATTTATTTATTTATTTATACGTAATGGAATTTAAATATATTAGGGTGAACCAATTCTTCAATCAATCTTACGTACTTAAGAGTATAGATTCGTGTGGGTCTACGTATATTTCCTTGTTCGCAGTGTATTTGCCACTAGCTGACTCAAGAGTTTTTCCCTATGACGAGTGACCTAAATAAACCCTTTTCATTGCGCCATCGGAAGGCTTACATGTGCCTCAAATAGAGTCACGTAAATGCAAATGCAACCAACTTTTATATTAATAACAGTTAATTTGGGTCGTTGTTGTTGTTGTAGTTGTTATTGTAAGTGATATTAGTGCCATAAGCAGACATTTGGTATGCGAAGTACCGCGAACAGCCTACTAGTAACTTATGAATAATGACTCCGTCAGAAGCACGTCCTTTCAAAAAAAGTAATAATAATAATGTATACGAAATTCGTAAGACGGGAATATTAATTTAAAAGGTGTTGAGAGAATATTTATTTTTTTCCTTGGCACTTCACTTGGATATTGTACCCATGAGTAGCTCTAGTAAAAAATTATATCAAACACAAATTTACATTAAGAACATCGATGATATCGCGATATTCCTTGATATCAAGGAGAAACAGCTGAAGGAATTTTTAAATCCAACAATCCAACAAACCACTAAATATCTTGAGAAATAGCAAAATATACTTTTTGTAATACCTGAGATAAATATAATTTGATGGCAGTAGCGAGGGGTCAGCTTTTTGGCAAGGTGTTCACAATTTGATCAAAACAGAATTCCAACTATAACGTACTCCCCCTACTCCTGAGTTTTGTCCCTTCCCCAAGCAAATAGCGTCCAAGACAAACAAAACAATTTATTTAAATGTTCGCAGCCTGTGATCCACTGGTTTTTATGGTAAATAGCTGTAGGAAAACGGCGACATACCACAGATTTCGACATTTTTACAACAGGTACCAAATTCTTCATATCTGGAGTTCGTCTATTCATTTTATGAATTAACACCTTTTTTTCAGATCGTTTAAAAAAAGATATTTGAATGAAATCTTTAATCACACATTAATTCATTTCTAAATATTATTTTTCACTTCAAATTTCTTTAATTTTTTTCTTTACTTTTACCATTTGCTAGTATAAAATTGCAATAATGACTTTGTTTTTGGTTTATTTCCAACCTTTACATAAGAGTAAAAAACTCTCATGCGTTCATTTACTCTTTTACTTTGTATTTACTATGAGCGGTTCAATTTTTTTATTGAACCATTTGCCCATATAAAATGGCAACCGTGACTTTGATTGTATTTGCACGCTTTGTATGAACTTGCGGTTCAATTTGGTCGAGTGAACCTCTCGCCAAATGAAAAACGATTTTCGCTCAGTCATTTCTATTCTCTTTTGTATTTACTTTGCATAACATTGGAGGTTCACTTTTTTTATTGAACCGCTTGCACGCATTAATTTAAGAGTTATGATTATTTTGTTTTTGTTTTCTCTTTTATTTTTATATTTCTTTGTATGTTTTGTATTTATTCAATACTGAACATAGTCCCAAAGCGCGGTGCAGTTTTTTTCTGAACCTTAGTATATTTTAAGAGGAATGTATTTTCTCTTTTATTAATTATAAGTAATGTTTGGTGTAACAAACATATGTATGTGTGGTTTTGTTTTTATTATACGTTTTGTGTTTATGTTAATATGTTTGGAAAAGCTATTATAAAAAATGTTAAGTAGCAAAATAGCGAGATTATTTACCTAATAAAAAAAAGATCTAAAAAGAAATATATATAATAGAAAGAAATAAAGTAGTTTGTTGTAGGAAAAATTTTACTTCGAAGAGATATTGAAATCTAATGGTTATGTTATGTAGATAGTCATGATCGAGTCATGAAATGGCATTACTGTTCTTTTCAACATAAATTAAAAGTTTGACATTAACAACAAGAGACCCTGTTTGACACGTTAGACAAAACATAGTTTTTTACTAAATAAAGTCGAAATTCGCTTATTTTAATAACATATATGTATATTTTTATCTGCATATATCGGCACTTTAAAATTAACAATTGTGATTTGACTGTCTGCCTAACATGCCTCCACGGTTACAATAGTCCCATTTTTATTTCTTCTATATGGTTCTATATGGCGTCAACGAATTATTTAAATTTCTCAATACCTTTTTTTCTGAAGCGTATTCACATCTAAGTTTGAATCTGTTTTTTCTAATTTCAATAATTCGCACATAAAACTTATCTGTATACTGATTACATCTTGGCTAATATGGTTAATTCTCTATCACATTTATATTTTTATTATTTCTGATCGGTTGTCTTATTAAGTAGAATTAGTAGTACTCAGCTTAATGAGTTAGTATAATTGTACTTTCGATACAAGATAATGGTCATCGTTTTGTTAAAATCCATCATTAATGGATCAAATTATTTGATTAGTCCTCTGACCAGAATAACTTAAGCTAAGTGAGGTGAAGTTACGGCCCTGTACATCCATACCCATTTGAGGGTAAATAATGATTCTTGTGATACTGTGGATAAAAACGTTGTTCACACGCCAGACCACAAAAATATTTATAAATACTGAGGTAGTCTGCGTATACAGGTAAAATTAGGTAAAATTGAAACATCCTGACAAGTTCATAAACTTGATTATGTACCTAGTTTTGGAGCATGACAGCTCTGTTAAGTCAGTTAGAAAAGGAGTAATAAGAATTTTAAATATTTGGAGTACAGATTCCTACTCATCAACAGAGGCACAAGCCGAGAAAAGTTGTCAGCGGGTAGAAAAGTCTTACTACATGTCTTCCTAGTATTTTGTGATGTGTCAGTACTGAACCTATAGTGATTAGTAGGTTCCGGTTTAGTTGAGCAAGATGACTGGGGTGAATTTTGCTCAATCTGGACCAGGGAAATCTTGTGAACTGACAAGAGTTTTCATTCACCCGAGCTTTGATTTCCAACCTTTAGTATTTATGTTTAATTTCAGTTTAACCATTGTTAGAGGAATACTAATATTAAGTGTTTAGGCAAGTTCGTTTATTCTACAGTTGCTCAAGATGTTTGTTTGTCCAGATTCGGGAAAGCAGGTATTCTCGAATTATAAAAGAAGCCGATGTAACGCCTGTCAGAGACTTAACATCAGCTTAGCTGACCGTGAAGATTACGACGTCCGAGATTACTAATATTACTTTTATTAAATTTATATTAGTTGCTATAAAGAGTTTTTAGTTCAGTAGTCTTATATGGTTCTAACTTGATATTATATAGTTAGGGTAAAAATCTTTATGTTCAGTATTTATAAAGCCAATTAACTTTAAGGTCTTAGATATTAATTGAGTACTAAAATCCCACAAAGCATGCACCGCTTTTGAATTCAAACAATTTTACAATCCATTTATTGAAGTTACTGAATAACCTTTTCAGTTGGAATGACACAAAAGCAAAATTGCTCAGGATTATTGATGTCAAAAGATTAACGCTGACTACGAGGAGTTCATTTACTATGGACCAATATCTTTAATGCATTCCCTTGTACGTAATATACACTGGCTCGATCTAACCTACTCTTAAGTAGACAAACTCATCCATTACATTCTTGTAGAACTTTGACCTTCATCACTCATCGTTAGACTAATGTCATGCAATGAAAAGGATTTCGTTTGTGTTAAAAGCGTGGTTAAGGTCGCCCTAGAGTGTAAATATTTAACTCAAATTCATATAAAATATTAAACACATTAACTGAACCACATGAGTGGAAGATGTACTCGTTGTACCACATCCTCTTAGTGGCGTTTTTAGTGAATTTTTGTGTGCATTATATATCAGCAGAAAGAGCTCATATTTTAATATATTGTTCAACCTTTATATTGTGAATAAAATATATTATAACTTAAATGAAAAGGATATTTCTCTCATTGAATGTTCAGCGATATTTCTCGTTACCTAATTGTGCAATATTCTGGGTATTAAATATGAATTGATTCACGTATTTGATTTGCCTTGAAGGTTGATTTTCCTCTCCAGCAATATTTAAATAATTGGGAATAATAATTAAGTAACTTAATGGCCTAATCAGAGATAAAAGAGAAATTGCCGTCACCTGAATAATATTAACAAAGCTACAGCTACTACAGGCTCACTTCGTCCTTTCACAGAATGATAAATTTCGAAATTTAAGGCTAAAGTTAAAGTTATTTTTGCAGAACAAAAGCGTACATAAAACATTAAATTTTTATGTCCTTTTGCCTTTATCCTTTCCTTTTTCTTCCATTGTTGTTCGCATATTAAATTCTTTCTGTTTTGATTCTTTTGGCAATTTTGGGTTATGTTTTTCATCCTTCGTACAAGGTCACAATAAATCATTTGAACAGACGACAGTTCGACCTTTTTATGGCAAATGATTCGCACGGCATCTGCCATGGCACATAAAAACTCGACCGGAAATGAAATGTTTAAATTAAAGTATTTTAAAAAAAAGCAAACAAATGCGAACGTAAAGGAAGCCCACATTCCGAATAAGTATCTTTCGAGCAATAAAACGGGTAAAAGCTTCAGAATGAAGGATGCCATTAAAAGGTCAAAAGTTGGGCGAAATTTCTTGGGCTTAGTGCCAAAAGCTCGAATGCGAATTGCAATTGCGGAATACAAAAACGCAGGATTCACAAAAATAACGCTACATTTCACTTACCTGAAGGATTATCCTGTTACACTATTGCTGCCTCAGCCGAATATACAGTTGAACGAATTATTATAATTTATTTTTTTCAGTTCTTTTAGGTTTTTATATTTTTTTTTTAGTTAATTTTTAATAATTTTAAAAGGATCCGCACTTTTTATAATTTTATGCTGCATCAAATATAAACAAAAATTCATTAAATCATATTTCTACTTGCAGAATATGTACGCTTCTATTCTAATTTCATTTGAAAAAAAAAAAGTTAATGGAGCATAAAAATCCACAAGACCAAGTAAGACATGATAAACGATTATTGAAGAAAAGCGCCAAGGATAATCGTCATTCATAAGTTCATGCTCCAATTTTATAGAATGCAAACGATCAATTATTTGCAAGCACAACTAGCGAAAAGGACTAATAAGGACATTTGCATTTGAGCATTTGAGTTGAGTACTGTAATTCTCATAATCGTTCTGTCCAGTCAAACATTGCACACTCGCTTAGCATTGAGATGTTAACTAAATGCGGCATTTAAGGCGATTATAGCGATTAGATGTCCAATTTCCGCTTGGAAACGGAATAATATACGCATTAGACGGATATGAAAGAGCACATCCAATAATAGTGCACAGAGCCACTAAGTATGAGAAAGCTGTCATATGACAAGACTTAAGTCTGTTGGAACATAAATGCCAAAGGAAATGTTCAGTTGCAGATTGATTCGCTGAATTGCCGTGTCGTGTCATATTTGCCAACGCAGTCTTATCTTTTGTTCGTCTTGCTTTTGTTGTTACTACAACTGTCGCATGTGGGCCTCAAGTATGGTGCGAGTAGCGTACAAGGTTAAAAGGGTTCATGGCTAGAGTTTATAAGTCACCCGTGTGGGTTGGGTTAACCGCTTCAGATAGCAGCTCACGTATGCTTACAAGTAATGATACGTATGTATCATAACTTGGCAGTCAGCACGAGAATAGCGCAGACTATTTTTAAACGTTGAATTGCAGAATGCAGTCCTATATTTATATGGAAAGACTTCAGAAATCACAAAATAACAATGACTGCATGTTAAGTTAAATGTGCACTTCCTATGAGTTTTGTATTATTTCAACAGAAAAACTACAGAGTCAGTCTCTGTCTGCCACTTGGTTTACAATCGGTTGAAGGATAAAGAAATAGTGCCTGCTTACAAGTGAGTTCAAGTGAGCAATATTTAAAATATAACTATTAAATTAATATGAATATATATATTTAAAAAATAAAATTTTTTGTCATGCATGTCCTTCAATATATCCTATAATCGTTGTTTTGAAAGAAGTTTAAATTTATTTATTATTATTTAAGAATAAAGATTAAATTTACTACTTAAAGTGATTTTATTTATACATATATTAAGTCGCTTTTCAATAATGTTTGCTAGTGCTTTTGTAGTGATACAAAAAAAAATGATTGAATAGAGCACTTTTACTTTTTATGGATAGTTTTTTATGCTTATTATAGTAGAAAAATATTCCTAATCAAATCAGAAATCACGGTTTGGAGACATTAGTGATGCATCTAAATAGGATTATACTGGTTATAATATCGCGATATTAAAAATGGATTATAAAATAAAATATGGATAACTTGGAAAATATGGATAAAAACTTATGCGAAAGTGCTGGACTAAACGGAAGCTCTGTGATCCATTAGGAGATAAAGATTACGAATAAAATATACTATATTTCACAATTTAAAATCTTGTACAAATCTAGAGATTATATTGAGAAGACTTAAGAGAGATATAAGATCTTATAATTACTCAGTCAGTAGTAGCTTTAATTCTTTTATTTACAGTCCTCCTTCCATCGTTTTTTTTTTCATTCTTATATAAAAACAAACACCGAAACATAAGCGATAAAAATTTATCACTAAATCGGGTTATGTGTATATAATTTTCTTCAAGTTTTCAAATGATTCTCAATATTGGGTTGAGGAAGTTAATAGCAGCTTTGGCTATTTTATTTACTGTCCACTTCCGTTTCCTCTTCTACATTCTTATTGAAGAATATCGAAACGAAAGCAATAAAAATATATCGAAAGATCAGAGCAAATGTATATAACATAACTTTGTAAATGATTCACAATATTGGGTTGAGGAGGTGCTCAATATTGTTGCTCCATGTTTATATAAATACATAAATAAATAATTTAAACTGAAATCACACGTGGAAATCCTGAACCAACACATGTGCCAACACCAACACAAAAGCATTTAGGAAAAGACAGCAAAACGCACACATTTTATCCTTTGAAATCGTTCAAACGTTTTCCTCGCTCAAATGAGAAATACTACTTTACATTTTGCTTCATTTTTTTATTTATTTTTGTTGTATTTTCTGAATGTTTCGGTAAAGTTTCGTACGTGGCATGACTTGGGCTGAAATGGTAACATTCCGCAGTGGCAGCAGATCACGTGAAGTAAATCATTACAAAAACACAAAAGGGAAAATAAATTTGGTAAAAAAAATTAAAATTCAATTTTAAATGGCAAAAATGAAATTGATTTTTTATATTTAATTTTTTTTCATATTTAATTTTTTTTTTATATTTTTATTTGTTTTTATTGCAACAAAACACTTTTCAGTTCAATTTTAAAAACACTAAAAAAACAAAACCTTTTTTTAATCAGAAAAACAAGTTAATTTATAGTATTTCATTTTCAAAAATTTGTTTGTATATATATATTGTTTTTATCAGCACCTTCACACTCTACAGTTTCTATTTAATATTTATATATTTAAATAAAAATGGCGCTTACAGAAAAATACGTTTACGCGCCTCGACAGTTCACATCATTCTGAAATGGTGTATTTTAAGTTATTTTCAACATAAATGAACTCATGTCCTAATTCTGTTAGTTCTTTTGCCGCTCAATGCACTCAATTCTTTGTGCTCACTTCATCTTTTGCTCAAGTTCTCTGCTGTTATGCTTTTGAGCCTACACATTGTTGCCGTTTCATGTCCACGCATATTAAATTCTTCACATTGTTACCGTTTCATGTCAAAATCTGTTATACAAAATTTAGTTAAATAAACGTATTGTTTTCTTTAAAAGTTGGACAAGTACTCGAATTAATTTTAGTTCAGCACCCCAAATATAACTCATAGTTATGAGACACATACGCTCTGTAGTTGTTAAGTAATTTTTTTTTTATAAATTTAAACAAAATGCAAAGTTTAAATTAACAATAATTAGTCATATTGACTAACAAGAGATTTTTTAAAGTTGTAAAGTATCACATGTAATGTAATGTAACAGTTTATTAGTTAGGTTAAGGCCTTTTTGCACTGCGACCAGCTTGATCTATTAGGCACCCTTTTGTATTTAGACATTTAGTATCTCGAGAAATCGAACCAGCTCCTTTAGAAAGAGTTTTTGAAGGTTTTCATCCTCTAGTTAATATTCTGTGGGCTAGCGCATCGCAGTTGGTGATCAGATGTTCCATATACTCTCTTCCTCATCACAACAGAATTTGCAAATATTTGTGTCAGGTATACTTATTTTGTGTAGGTGTTTATTGCAGGCGGCGTGACTCTTCTTGTTTAGGTTGAGAACGATGTTTGCCATTTTTTCATCAAAATTTAAAAATTTTTTGGAATGATTTAAGCTGTCTGTGTCATTCCAATATTCGATGATACTTTGTTGGATTCATTTTTTGATCTCCTGTTTTATGTTCTTTTTATTGAAGCCAAAAAAAGGAGTTGGGCTGATGAATAGCTCTTTTACCCCTTTTTTGGCATAAAGGTCTACCTTCTCGTTGCCTTTGTGTCCTTCATGTCGGGGCACCTAAATCAGAGAGACCTGGTTGTAGGTGGCCAGTTGATTGAGTCCATTGTTACACTCTACAAGGACTTTTAATGTGAATGTGTAGCTATTTAGGTGTTTGAGTACTGATTGACTGTCTGAGAATATTTTGATTTTAACTCTCTTTAGTCCTCTTTTGGATAAGATCTCCAGTTCCGCATGGAAAATTGTGGAGTCTGTGCTTATTGTAATTGATTTGTGTGCTCTGGCTCCCACTATTCTTGCTCCTATACTTTGAAGCGTTTTGGACCCATATGTATATTATTTTTGCGAGTCGTCATGTAACCATGTTGAATTAACATTCTACTCCCCCCTTGATGGGAAGATGACTCTGTATTTCTTGGTGAAATTGAGTACTGAGTTTGTGTGGTCTATTGCGTGGGTCATATACGTAGCGTGTTCAACCCTGGTGAAGATTTGTAAGCGGATTTGGAAAATTCGGAGGGTTTATTTCCTACTTTTGATAAGAATATTACCTTATCCTCTCGCCTTATCTTTGAAAGATATCCCAATGTTAGACTGGATCTGAAGATTTCAACCAAAATATATTTCAGTGTAACAGATCCTTTAGAGTTTAGGGCTGGGAATACACCATCTGGTCCTGGTGATATGTTGGGTTTCAATGAATTTATGGCCCATTCTACCCACTCAAAGGTAACTATTTTGGGTAAAGTGGAGTTTCTAGCCCAGTGATTATTGTGAACTAGTGCCCCTTACTCGTTGTCACTGGTTGTGTTGAGATGAAATCACTTTAGTATCATGGCATTATATTTAACTACATATGAGCTTTATAATTTGTGAAGTAAATGCAATTACGAGTTAATTAAACATTATTTCCTATTTATCAAACAGCAATGTATGTTATAAAAACAAATTCCTTAATGTGATAATATAATTTATTATGGTATAATCTGATGCCAACAATATGAACAATAATTAAATTCTTTGTCTATAATATATTTTGCGAGCGTCAAGTTAATAATTAATTATTGAAATTATTTAAAAATAATGCACTGAGCAGTGCGAGTGCACTATGATATAATCAGGCGTCAATAAGATTTTTTACAACAGAACTCTAGACTTTATTTATCAAAAATATATTTTAAGATCATCATGTTAATAAAATTAATTTTTAGAAAAAGGTTTGCATGTTGAACAGTTCACCGGAATATTTTTTAGTGTTTTTAGTATTATTGTTTTTTGTTATATATGGTTTATTTTAAAGTTACCAAATATTAACGATTTAAACGTGATTTACAAAAGGAAAACAATGTTATCGGAAACAATTATATGTAGATTT